CATCCTGTATCTATGCAGTATACCATGTATTTATCTAATAAGTCTCATCCTGTATCTATGCAGTATACATGTACCATGTATTTATCTAATAAGACTCATCCTGTATCTATGCAGTTTACCATGTATTTATCTAAAAAGACTCATGCTGTATCTATGCAGTATACCATGTATTTATGTAATAAGTCTCATCCTGTATCTATGCAGTATACCATGTATCTATGCAGTATACCATGTATTTATGTAATAAGTCTCATCCTGTATCTATGCAGTATACATGTACCATGTATTTATCTAATAAGACTCATCCTGTATCTATGTAGTATACCATGTATTTATCTAATAAGACCCATCCTGTATCCATGCAGTTTACCATGTATTTATCTAATAAGACGCATGCTGTATCTATGCAGTATACCATGTATTTATCTAATAAGTCTCATCCTGTATCTATGCAGTATACCATGTATTTATGTAATAAGTCTCATCCTGTATCTATGCAGTATACCATGTATTTATCTAAAAAGACCCATCCTGTATCTATGCAGTATACCATGTATTTATCTAATAAGACTCATCCTGTATCTATGCAGTATACCATGTATCTATGCAATATACCATGTATTTATCTAATAAGACCCATCCTGTATCTATGCAGTATACCATGTATTTATCTAATAAGACCCATCCTGTATCTATGCAGTATACCATGTATTTATCTAATAAGACTCATCCTGTATTCATGCATAGAAACCCTGTGCATGGCCACAGTACAGCAAATAAATTACCAATTAAGATCAGATTTAGAATTGTAACAAAACACCATACATGTACAAATGATCAAATTTGACTTATTCAGCCTTATTTTGTTTAACCATTCGTTAATGAAAAAAAATCAAAAAAAATCATAACAAAAAAAAAAAAATGGAAATACTGAAAATCATTGAGAAAATATATACATGTACCTGCAAAAATATGTACAGAATCAGTGCTTAGATATATTGCTGTATTTCTGCTGTATTTCTGCTGTATTTTGCTTAAATCTCATCGTATTGGGAATCCAGATANGATTTGTAAAATATAAAAAATTAAGCCTTATAATTTTCACTTAATTTCCCTTTTCTATATTTTAAGCGCTGAGCTAGAATTATTTTTTTCTCTAATGTTAAACAGAAACTGATAACTCATTCACCCCTGAAGACACATTTGAACTCTTCTAATTCAATGGATGGAATAGTTCATTATGAAATTTCAGGGGTGAAGGAGTTAAAGTTTTAAGTGCTTTAACTACATATAAAATGCCAAATTTTGCCTAACCTACTAAAAGAATTTTGAATGCTTGTTATAATTTTAACACATTAAAGAGTTTATTTTATCTTTTTAAGATTCTGAATTAATGACGATACATTGTATGTTCTTCTGTATATACATTTATAGAGTAGTAAGTTGGTGTTTTGATTCTGTGTCAGTAACAGCCATACCCTGTACCCTTTCTGCCTGATTAGTGTGGTCCTTTGATACCTTTGACGTAACTGTTTCCAGTCCAGATTGATTTATGACCTACACAGTAGCGTGGGATATAAACCAGAATGTATTACCTTATAGATTACCCTTATTCCTGGTACATTAAGCAGTGGCGGATCCAGAGGGGTTTTTTGGGCTTCGGGAAACCCCCCCAGCCTGATAATTTTCTTTAAAAATCATGTATTTTCACCATTTTCCCCACATGGAAACCCCCCCTGGAAATTTGGAACCCCCCCCAGATAGGTCTCTGGATCCGCCACTGTAATAAGCTCTGATGTATTTATGTACACATGGCCTTTCCTAGGTACTTTTTAGAAATCACCATCATTATGTTAGGATTCTGAAAGAAAATCAGCGTTTTGGTTAACCTAAGTACTTAGTCTCAAAAGTTGGGATCATACCTGTTGTGACTGTATCCAGTATTTTATTGTGAAGAATAATAACATGCTCACTTCTTGATTTTAAATATCTATTGATTTTTTTTTTTTAATTAGGTTCAGTAAAAACTGCAAAGATTGCATGGGAGAATGACCTTTGAATAAACTGATTTATAAATGGGGCTTGAGACTTTAGAACTTGGGGGGGAAATGCTTGATGTTTGTTTTTAATTGTGACTTACAATAATTGCTTAATATACAAAAATATAAATGAGCATTTAAAAAAAAATATCCTTTACAATCCTTATTTATATTTTAACTATATATGCATCATAGACAATTAAAATCGATTTGTTTATTTATTTTTGTTTGCTTCTGTTAAGTCTATATTTTGGACATTTAGACAAAAATCAATTAAAATTTTAACACTATTTTGCCCATTGGGATTTTGATCACATATTGGACGAAAAACAATACAATTGAAAGATAGTTTTACGGTTCATCTAACACAATTTGTATCAAAAATTTGCAAAGACCTGTTTTAGTAAACTTCAAATGCAAGTACTGTACAGTGAGATTTTTTCTCTTTATTCCAACAATAAGTAAGATGTGAAAAAATCATTTGACAACATTGTTGTCTCTCTGTTCATACATAACATAAAGATAAATGAAATAGTATAAAGTCTGTGTGGGTTTACACAGGCAATTTTCTATTTCATATGTGTGCATGATGCCCTTCAATCAATTTTATGATTTAATCGTATATATATATATATATATGATGAATTCCTGATTCTGTTGCAGACATTAACTTTTGCCTGAAAAATTGTTGTAAGCTGTAGTCGATCCAAAATAAGTATGGGTAGACAAAAAATCTGGTAAAAATCCCAGCAGTCATGAACTCCAGACAAACTGTTGAGGAAACATTGTCCATCTGCTAAGGTCATCTCAGTCAAACAGACACTTGTTGTTGGTGAGTGTACTGTCAAAGGTCTGCTAAGGTCATCTCAGTCAAACAGACACTTGTTGTTGGTGAGTGTACTGTCAAAGGTCTGCTAAGGACATCTCAGTCAAACAGACACTTGTTGTCGTGGGTGTACTGTCAAAGGTCTGCTAAGGTCATCTCAGTCAAACAGACACTTGTTGTGGGTGAGTGTACTGTCAAAGGTCTGCTAAGGTCATCTCAGTCAAACAGACACTTGTTGTTGGTGAGTGTATTGTCAAAGGTTTGCTAAGGTCATCTCAGTCAAACAGACACTTGTTGGTGGGTGTACTGTCAAAGGTCGGCTAAGGTCATCTCAGTCAAACAGACATTTGTTGGTGGTGAGTGTACTGTCAAAGGTCTGCTAAGGTCATCTCAGTCAAACAGGCACTTGTTGTTGGTGGGTGTACTGTCAAAGGTCTGCTAAGGTCATCTCAGTCAAACAGACACTTGTTGGTGGGGGTACTGTCAAAGGTCGGCTAAGGTCATCTCAGTCAAACAGACATTTGTTGGTGAGTGTATTGTCAAAGGTCTGCTAAGGTCATCTCAGTCAAACAGACACTTGTTGTTGGTGGGTGTATACTGTCAAAGGTCCGCTAAGGTCATCTCAGTCAAACAGACATTTGTTGGTGAGTGTATTGTCAAAGGTCTGCTAAGGTCATCTCAGTCAAACAGACACTTGTTGGTGGGTGTACTGTCAAAGGTCGGCTAAGGTCATCTCAGTCAAACAGACATTTGTTTGTGAGTGTATTGTCAAAGGTCTGCTAAGGTCATCTCAGTCATACAGACACTTGTTGTTGGTGAGTGTACTGTCAAAGGTCTGCTAAGATCATCTAAGTCAAACAGACACTTGTTGTTGGTGGGTGTACTGTCAAAGGTCTGCTAAGGTCATCTCAGTCAAACAGACATTTGTTGGTGGTGAGTGTACTGTCAAAGGTCTGCTAAGGTCATCTCAGTCAAACACACTTGTTGGTGGGTGTACTGTCAAAGTCTTCTGGTGATCTATAATGGTGCTCGATATCACGTTTAATTCACCATCATCTATATATATATCATCCGTCCGGCAACAACTTTTGTCTGTGTACCAAACTTCTTTCAAATAACCAAAACCTAACATTTTTGGCAAATTGCATGATAGGATAAAAGACTTTCATGTTTGCTTAAATGAATGACCTTGACCCACTTTCAAAGGCACAGGAATCAAATGTGATAAAACTTTTGAATAATTTCATTCCAATTACCATAAAGGCCTAGGGTCTTGTGGAGGATACATGTTAAAATCAAGCTGAAATCTTATGAATGAAGAATGTCATAGGGTTTAAAGTAATAAATCTTCCAACAATGGATCCATTATGTGTAGAGTAACATTTGATACATCGCCAATCAGTATTTAAATAAATTTAACCTTGATCCTCTTTGAAGGTCACAGATGAAAGATGAATAACATGTATCTGATACAGGCCCACATGGCCTCTTGTTGATTTGCACAGTATATCATATGTAAGGAGCTATTAACACTCCGCTGAGTTTATAACAGTTTTTCAAGTTTCTTTGGTCCACAGGGGTTCATTACAAATTATATGGGCGGATTGGTTGAGTGGTTAACACTCCGGCCTTCCACGCAGGCGGCTGGGGTTCGATCCCCGAAGTCGTTGTAAGCATGGATATTTAGAGAAAGTGTTTTTCTCCTGCCAACACAACTCCAACGACCCAGGTGGAGTATACAATGGTCTGGGGTGGATGTTGTGGTATCAGTGCTGTAGCATTCAAGTGAGGCGGCTCTATAAATGATGCTGTTGGAAGCACGGTTCCACTTCAAACAGAACACATTTACATCTCCACGCATACACACATTGGGAGATATATTATCCAGGTGGCATAGGACTAGTAGTTAGTGCTTGATAACGCAGCTCCTGCAAATTCCTCAAAATTGTAATGATTAATGTATATATGCTAATTGTATTTAAATTGTATATCTATCTACTGTAAAGCGCTATAGAGTGGCTTATGTTAGCTAGATAGGGCGCTCAATCAAATGTTGTATATTATAACTATATTATTATTATTCGTGTACAGAATTTTTACAATTTTTAATAAAAAGAAAATTCTTTTTTTTCTAGGACTATTACAATTTCCGGACCTACCTGCCCCCAATAGAGCCACCAACACCAACCTACGCCTACGACAGCTCACCGACGTTCTCCCGACGCTCACACAAACCAAACATCCCCATCCCTAAAACGTTTACCACTAGGAAGGGAGCTCTGCTACTATTCTCCGAAGACCTTGCCCATAAAAATCCTGTGCCTGTTGTAAGAAGACATAACTATCACAGCCTCGATGAAACTAAATTCTCGTCCATAACGCCGGGTGATGAGGATGGCGACCTCAAGACTGTGGATGACCTTGCCAAGTCTATTCTTCTCTATGGCAACCAGGTAGATAGTGATGATTTCTGCAGGCTGTGTATCTTTTATGAAATATTGGAATAAGGTCTTGATCTATTTTCAGAGTATTTGAGTATTATGTTGTTTCAGAATGGGATTAAAAACCTATAATGGCATCAGGGGCATATAATTTCATACTTATAGAATACTAACAGACAGAGTTTGTCAAATGATCCAAGCCCAATAAACACTTGGATAGAAATTCCTGAAAATTTTCACCAGTCCTTTTACAATATCTCCTAGGTCTGGACGTCAGTCTAGGTAGTGGAATTGTACACCCCTGGACATGTCTGAGTGGGGTGTCATTGAGTGTCATTTCAGTGTAGGGTTTGTGGGTTGACTTGATATAAGTGTCAGTATAGTGGGATGTCTGAATGGGGTGTTATTGAGTGGGGTATCGGTGAAGGGTTTGTGGGTTCACTTGATATAAATGACAGTAATGGGGTGTCTGAGTGGGGTGTAATTGAGTGGGGTATCTGTGTATGGTTTGTGGGTTGACCTGATGTACATATCAGTAGTGGGATGTTTGAGTGGGGTATCAAGCTAGGGTTTGTAAGTTGACCTGATGTACATGTCAGTAGTGGGATGTCTGAGTGCGATGTAATTGAGTGGGGTATCAATGTAGGGTTTGTGAGTTGACCTGATGTACATGTCAGTAATTGGATGTCTGAGTGGGGTGTCATTGAGTGGGGTATCAATGTAGGGTTTGTGGGTTTACCTAATGTACATGTCAATAGTGGGATGTCTGAGTGCGATGTAATTGAGTGGGGTATCAATGTAGGGTTTGTGGGTTGACCTGATGTACATGTCAGTAGCAGGGTGAACTGAGTGGGATGTCTGAGTGGGGTATCAATGTAGGGTTTGTGGGTTGACCTGATGTACATGTCAGTAGCAGGGTGAACTGAGTGGGATGTAATTGAGTGGGGTATCAATGTAAGGTTTGTGGGTTGACCTGATGAACATGTCAGTAGTGGGATGTCTGAGTGGGGTGTAATTGAGTCGGGTATCAATGTAAGGTTTGTGGGTTGACCTGATGTACATGTCAGTAGTGGGATGTCTGAGTGGGGTGTAATTGAGTGGGGTATCAATGTAAGGTTTGTGGGTTAACCTGATGTACATGTCTGAATGCGATGTAAATGAGTGGGGTATCAATGTAGGGTTTGTGAGTTGACCTGATGTACATGTCAGTAATTGGATGTCTGAGTGGGGTGTCATTGAGTGGGGTATCAATGTAGGGTTTGTGGGTTTACCTAATGTACATGTCAATAGTGGGATGTCTGAGTGGGGTGTAATTGAGTGGGGTATCAATGTAGGGTTTGTGGGTTGACCTGATGTACATGTCAGTAGCAGGGTGAACTGAGTGGGATGTCTGAGTGGGGTATCAATGTAGGGTTTGTGGGTTGACCTGATGTACATGTCAGTAGCAGGGTGAACTGAGTGGGATGTAATTGAGTGGGATATCAATGTAAGGTTTGTGGGTTGACCTGATGAACATGTCAGTAGTGGGATGTCTGAGTGGGGTATCAATGTAGGGTTTGTGGGTTGACCTGATGTACATGTCAGTAGCAGGGTGAACTGAGTGGGATGTAATTGAGTGGGGTATCCATGTAAGGTTTGTGGGTTGACCTGATGAACATGTCAGTAGTGGGATGTCATTGAGTGGGGTATCAATGTAGGGTTTGTGGGTTGACCTGATGAACATGTCAGTAGTGGGATGTCTGAGTTGGGTATCAATGTAGGGTTTGTGGGTTGACCTGATGTACATGTCAGTAGCAGGGTGAACTGAGTGGGATGTAATTGAGTGGGGTATCAATGTAGGGTTTGTGGGTTAACCTGATGTACATGTCAGTATTGGGGTGAACTGAGTGGGATGTAATTGAATGGGATATCAATGTAAGGTTTGTGGGTTAACCTGATGAACATGTCAGTAGTGGGATGTCTGAGTGGGGTATCAATGTAGGGTTTGTGGGTTGACCTGATGTACATGTCATTAGCAGGGTGAACTGAGTGGGATGTAATTGGGTGGGGTATCAATGTAAGGTTTGTGGGTTAACCAGATGAACATGTCAGTAGTGGGATGTATGAGTGCGATGTAATTGAGTGGGGTATCAATGTAGGGTTTGTGGGTTGACCTGATGTACATGTCAGTAGCGGGGTGAACTGAGTGGGATGTAATTGGTTGGGTTATCAATGTAAGGTTTGTGGGTTAACCTGATGAACATGTCAGTAGTGGGATGTCTGAGTGGGGTGTAATTGAGTGGGGTATCAATGTAAGGTTTGTGGGTTGACCTGATGTACATGTCAGTAGTGGGATGTCTGAGTGGGGGGTAATTGAGTTGGGTATCAATGTAAGGTTTGTGGGTTGACCTGATGTACATGTCAGTAGTGGGATGTCTGAGTGGGGTGTAATTGGGTTGGGTATCAATGTAAGGTTTGTGGGTTGACCTGATGTACATGTCAGTAGTGGGATGTCTGAGTGGGGTGTAATTGAGTTAGGTATCAATGTAAGGTTTATGGGTTGATCTGATGTACATGTCAGTAGTGGGATGTCTGAGTGGGGTGAACTGAGTGGGGTATCAATGTAGGGTTGTGGGTGAATTGACCTAATTACTGGGCATTGAGGTTGGGATGTTAGAGATGGGTAGAAGAGCTATGTGAGTTAAAATGGTTGTCCTGGTTCTGTTTATCTGACTTGAGTGTCTGAGAGGTACAGTAATTGTCTGATCGTAAGCATGATTGGTTATGTAAATGGGATGTCATTCATAGCTGATATGAATACTAACTGAACATCATGAGTGGGTAGAGTAATATAGTTGCACTTCTATGAAAAAATACATAAGAAAAAGAGATTTTACAAAAACGTGTGAAGATTAAACCTGATTAGCAACCAAAAGCCAGGTTAAGACTCATGTAGTAAGTAGCAACACTGATTCCATAAACTCAAAAATACTTTATTATATTATGAAATATTTATTTCTGTTTCAGGATTCACCTGACCTAGATGGAGGTTTCATGAATATGAAGTTTATACGTGGTCGTAAGAAGAAGGACTACTTTGACAGACAAATAAGACCAGGATTCTCAGCCAAGCGATACCTATCTTCCTGGACTAAGTCTTGGGACGACTCAGTATTAGAGAAAGTCATTAGTAAGGGTAGGTAACTCTGTTTGGCGAAAAATAAATATTGCAATTTTTTTTCATTTTCCTACTGAAGCTACGGTAACAATCATAATAATTGAACTTGAACACTTTGTTTGAAGGATTTGCTTTTGAATCAGTTTTCTCAATGTATATATAATCTTTTTTTGAATAGAAATGATATGTCATATTTGATATGAATTGTCTATGTGAGAAAACACTGCTTAGATTAAACAGCTAGGAGGCCAGAATACACAGGTATTTGGTTCTTTTTAATAAAAATAGAATTTACAGTATAATCATTATATCACCAAAATTAGTGCTCTTTGAACAATGTCTCTCTTATCACCAGTACATTTAATAACTTATTTTTCTGCTGATATTATTTCTAAAATCTTCCTTCTGGAGTTTACGTAAGATTCTGATGTTTGAATATTTTAGGATACTTGACGGAGAAGTCTCTATTTTACTACAATCCACTAATGCCGCACCTACAGCGTCGTCTCAACGATGACATGTCCCACTATCCTGTCCCTTACAAACTCATGCGGAGTATGCTGATGTCCCCAGGAAGTCTGTCTGGGTACACTTTCTACCGTGTAAGGCCAGAGTCTGCAGAAACAATCTGTAAGTATCCCAGGCAGTCGGTTTTAGGTAGCACCTCTACAGAGTATACCTCAAACTGAAAAACTGTTAGTACGTGCTTCAATCCAGTTTACCTGGAGTCTGTAGTTTATCTGAAGTCTGTAGTTTATCAGGAGTCTGTAGTTTATCTGGAGTCTGTAGTTAATATCTGGAGTATGTAGTTTATCTGGAGTCTGTAGGTTTACCTGGAGTCTGTAGTTTACCTGGAGTCTGTAGTTTATCTAGAGTCTGTAGTTTATCTAAAGTCTATAGTTTATCTGGAGTCTGTAGTTTACCTGAAGTCTGTAGTTTATCTGGAGTCTATAGTTTATCTGGAGTCTGTAGTTTATCTGGAGTCTGTAGTTTATCAGGAGTCTGAAGATTATCTGGAGTCTGTAGTTTATCTGGAGTCTAGTTTATCTGTATAATCTGTAGTTTATCTGGAGTCTGTAGTTTATCTGGAGTCTAGTTTATCTGGAGTCTGTAGTTTATCTAAAGTCTATAGTTTATCTGGAGTCTGTAGTTTATCTGGAGTCTGTAGTTTATCTGAAGTCTGTAGTTTATCTGGAGTCTGTAGTTTATCTGGAGTCTGTAGTTTATCTGGAGTCTGTAGTTTATCTAAAGTCTGTAGTTTATCTGTATAGTCTGTAGTTTATCTGGAGTCTGTAGTTTACCTGGAGTCTGTAGTTTATCTGGAGTCTGTAGTTTATCTGGAGTCTGTAGTTTACCTAAAGTCTGTAGTTTATCTGTATAGTCTGTAGTTTATCTGGAGTCTGTAGTTTATCTGGAGTCTAGTTTATCTGGAGTCTGTAGTCTATCTAAAGTCTATAGTTTATCTGGAGTCTGTAATTTATCTAAAGTCTATAGTTTATCTGGAGTCTGTAGTTTATCTGGAGTCTGTGGATTATCTGGAGTCTGTAGTTTATCTGGAGTCTGTAGTTTATCTTGAGTCTGTAGATTATCTGGAGTTTGTAGTTTATCTGGAGTCTGTAGTTTATCTAAAGTCTGTAGTTTATCTGGAGTCTGTAGTCTATCTGTATAGTCTGTAGTTTATCCCGAGTCTGTAGTTTACCTGGAGTCTGTAGTTTATCTGGTGTCTGTAGTTTATCTGGAGGTTGTAGTTTATCTGGAGTCTGTAGTCTGGAGTCTGTAGTTTATCTTGAGTCTGTAGATTATCTGGAGTTTGTAGTTTATCTGGAGTCTGTAGTTTATCTGGAGTCTGTGGATTATCTGGGGTCTGTAGTTTATCTGGAGTCTGTAGTTTATCTGTATAGTCTGTAGTTTATCCCGAGTCTGTAGTTTACCTGGAGTCTGTAGTTTATCTGGTGTCTGTAGTTTATCTGGAGGTTGTAGTTTATCTGGAGTCTGTAGTTTATCTAAAGTCTGTAGTTTATCTGGAGTCTGTAGTTAATATCTGGAGTCTTTTGTTTATCTGGAGTCTGTAGTTTATCTGGAATCTGTAAGTTATCTGTATAGTCCGTAGTTTATCTGGAGTCTGTAGTTTATCTAAATGTCGCAGTTTATCTGGAGTCTGTAGTTTACCTAAAGTCTGTAGTCTATCTGTATAGTGTGTAGTTTATCTGGAGTCTGTAGTTTATCTTGAGTCTGTAGTTTATCTAAAGTCTGTAGTTTATCTGGAGTCTGTAGTTAATATCTGGAGTCTTTTGTTTATCTGGAGTCTGTAGTTTATCTGGAGTCTGTAGTTTATCTAAAGTCCGTAGTTTATCTGGAGTCTGTAGTTTACCTAAAGTCTGTAGTTTATCTGTATAGTGTGTAGTTTATCTGGAGTCTGTAGTTTATCTGGAGTCTAGTTTATCTGGAGTCTGTAGTTTATCTGGAGTCTAGTTTATCTGGAGTCTGTAGTCTATCTGGAGTCTGTAGTCTATCTGGAGTCTGTAGTTTATCTGGAGTCTGTAGAAGCTTTCAGTATGGAATTATTTAAATCTCCTTGGATCCAGCCTCACCATTTCCTTATACAGTAAATAAAGGCAGGAGTACATAAAATAAATCGAACTTGAGATCATATTCAAATATATAATCTACCGTTGATATTGGTGTCTCGGACGCAAAACTTGTGTTTTTATTGTGGTATTTTGAAAAATTCTGATGAACTGTTTTTAAGAAATATATAATGCCATTTTCCTAATTATTTTCCTGAATGTTATTTAATGATGTAGAAACAAAAAATCTTAAATGTGATGTACTTATCTTTAGTGAAAATATTTTACTTTGAACAGGAGTCATTCCCCTTACATTACAGTTAAGATTCTTTTTCTTTGATCTGATATTACTTTAATAATTAAAGTATTATTGTATGTAATAACAGTTAGCTGTATTTAAAGATATACTTTCATGTCTGTTTACTTGATCATTTTTTATTTTTTAAATAATTGACTGAACTTTTTCAACATTTTAAATTTTCTTGTCACCTTTTCAATAAATGTACTGGTATGTTTTGTTTTCATGTGGAGAACAGATTGCCGGTAAATAAAAATGTCGGGGAAAATACTGATTTGTTTTTGATAGCATGATTGTTAGTAAGTTCTGAGCCTTTCAGTGCCATTTCTCACTGTAATAAAACTTGTTGAGATCATTATTATATCTTCTATGAAAGTTTGCCTGCCATTGTAATGTTCAGTTCAAAGTTTTCGGAAAGCAATTCCAATATTATAGATCATAATATATGTATAGAAAACTTGTACAAAGTCATATTGTACATGTGTCTATGGCTGCAGAGAACACTGAACTCTTTTGAAGTTTTGATAAAATAGAAAATATATTTATTCCTTAGATGTATTCCTCCACATTAAATCTAATGATATCTATTAAATGTCTTAGGTAAAAACTAGGGTGATATTGTTTATTGTGTAATTTTTCAAAGTACTGTATCTATATAAAGTTTTACCAATATTTCGTCTTTGTGATAAAAAAAAAATAATTGTGTAGATATTTTCAAAATCAATTTATTGCTTTCTCCACAGTGACACAAGAAGATGCTGGAGTAGCCATTAGTCGAGGGGCTTCCATCAAGGTCATAAGTACTAAAGATGGCATACAAAGGGAGGTAACGTATGCCAGCCTGGATCGTCATGCCAAGGAGGAGGTCCTGACAGATCTTCTAGTCAAAAGTGCTGTCCACTACGCCATGAAAAAGCAACAGGTCAGTTAATGGTCAGCTTTGGTCTACTCCTGCATATTTGCCAACTTTTTAAAATTACAATGGGGGAGATTACATGTGCTCAGAATTAAAAGCATAAATAAAATGTGTGTATGTTCATCCTAGTGGAAAAAATACACTTCCAAATGGCAGCATTTTTTAAATGGCATCGTTTGTGCTGTTCTTTCAGGTGAAGTCATCAGATTTTAGAAAAAATCATAGTTTAGCAAATTCACTGGTTGAAAATGATCAAATTTAGGGTCTAAAACTCCTACATATGGAGAGTTGGCAAATATGCTAGTGATTTTTTATGGTGAATTAGGGGCTGTTTAGTGGCTGCTTCCTCTAGATAATTTCTAAATTTGCAAAAATTGGCGGGGGTTTTCACAATAGTGCATGATTAACATCTACAGAATTTTTTAACATTTTTTTTTAAGAACAAACTTGTGTGTGCAGCTCTTGTGGTTGAGTGATTCTGTAAATTAAACATATTGGTGGACATATTCTGGTATCCAAATCTAAATAACTTAAACAGTACAAATCAAACGATCACAAAAATGCCAGATTTAACACTATAACTGTTCAATTTTGTTTCAATTCTTGATCTTGAAAGTAAAATCGTAACATTTTGAAGCAAAATTAATAATAAATTTAAAAGGTGTTTGACCCATGAGCTGTTCTGTATTTGACAGGAGTATATGGATGGGACGCACTATTCCAAAGTCAACAAGATCATTGAGGTACCAGAATCTCCCGTTCCTAAGTTTGACATGCAGGACGCTGTGGAGGTAAGTTGTTTATTTCTCATTGCCTCAGACTAGGGGAGAACAGTTGTTTATTTCTCATTGCCTCAGACTAGGGGAGAACAGTTGTTCATTTTCATGTTCCAGTTTAACAGTGAGGATCAACTCGGACATCTTAAAAATAGGTGGTCACTTAAAAAAAGGTGTCTCAAAAGACGGAATTTTAGAATTGGCCTAACAATATCGTTTTTGGCAATGCATGAAAAATGTAAACACAAATTTAACAAAGTAACCTCTCAGAAAATGTGATATTTTAAGAGTGATGCGTACTTACCAGGATATTGTATTTCCGAATAGATTCATGGATGTTTCTTGGCAAAAATGATCTTTACTTAAGAGCAGGGCCCACTTGTATAAAACATCTCAAAGTTAAGGAAAATCTCAAGCAATGTATCGTCTGTGGGAAATCTTAGACTTGAGGAAATCTCAAGAGTTGAGATGCTTTATACAAGTAGGCCCTGGTCTCACAAGACAGGTTCAATTGATGTGGCCTTAGTAGGGGGTGTGAAAACAAGTTTTACGGAAGTGGACTTGCATAAGAGATATCCACAAACAAGGGAGCCTGCTTTGGTTGTCTGTCGAGCCTTTATACATAGATGTCTGTAGAGGTGATCTCTCAACCCAGAATTTAAAGATTCAGTAATCTCACCGTCCCAGTGGTCACCTAGCTTAGACAACTTTCAAGCGAGAGACCTTTAAAGAAGTGGTCAGTCAGAAAATTCAAAATTGAGGGGGTCACTCAAAACTGGTCTTTCAGAAGTGGCCTAACATAAAGGATGATTCTTACAAGACAAGTTTTATAACAATGGTCTCACAAAGGAGAGGGCCTGTTTTAAGGATGCATCTAAAACAAGGGGGCTTTTAAAAAGGTATAATTTACAGAGAGATTAAGTTGCCTTACATACAGTTATTGTATTTACCCTGGACTTACTTTACAAAAGAGTGGATCTGTCAGTTAGACAAAAAGAATTGACATATTTCCTCATACTATGTACTTGGCCCTTCCTAATTTGTTTTGCTGATCAAGCAATTCTAATTGTCATTTTCAAGGATGAAATAATAGTAAAATCACATTTTTTGTTGAACCTTTGAAAGTAAAATAAAATAAAAATATTTCCAATCTAATCTATTTTTGGAGGATTTTCAGTGAAAACACCCATTTTATTGCTATTTATACAGCAATTAATACTGTTATTGAAGTTTGTCGTAACTGAATTTGGTAGTATGCATGTATATCCCCCCAGTTGTGCCTCGTATCTGATGTTACTGGACTGTTTACAGGACTCCAGACCTGCCTATGACAATACACCTATTAATGAATGCTGTCGGCTCTTTATCGATCAGCTTATACTGATAAACCTGTGGAACAGATTGAGACGACTTGAGTACAGGATTTAGAATTAATCATGTGCGAAGCGAGATAAAATTGTATAAAAAACCTATCAAAGATCACCGATGTGTAGAAAGATATAATTGTATCGCTTATTAAATTTCAGACCGTTTTAAGTGTGGAATATTGGTGTGAATATCTGCATCGGAGATTTTAATGAACATTGATACCTTCCTTTAAGTTTTAATGGTGTCTTAATGAGGTCATTTTGTAGGTTGATAACTACTTTAAGAAAAAAATACCAAATCATGTGTCAGTATTTTTATATAATGCTTCAGTTGTCTTTGATGTTGAATATTGAGTGTTGAACATAATTCTCACGGGGTATATGTTTACCTTATATTACCTTATAAACATAATTCTCATGTGGTATATGTTTACCTTATATTACCTTATAAACATAATTCTCATGGGGTATATGTTTACCTTATATTACCTTATAAACATAATTCTCACAAGGTATATGTTTACCTTACATTACCTTATAAACATAATTCTCACAGGGTATATGTTTACCTTATATTACCTTATAAACATAATTCTCACGGGCTATATGTTTACCTTATATTACCTTATAAACATGCCTACTCTCATAAGGGCATCCCCAGATATTTTAGATCTTATTAGGGTTGCAACGATACACTGTCTACTTCAGGTTACGATATGTATCAAGGTATGATGCCTACCATACGATACACATATGTGCTCAAAACATTAACTTCTTAATGATTGAGCACAGTTAACAAGAGTTTTGTCATAGACCTAAATACTAAATACTGTCAAATATATTTTTGTATGATTTTTTTTAACTTTTGCAAACCTGACCAAATCTTCACTGAAGGATTTCAAAACAATTAGTAATCCCTCGAAGTTATTCAATAAGACACTGATAATTATAGTATCGTTAGTATATCACGATACAGGCAAAAACAAACCCAATTTGAAACGATACACAAGAAAGTATCATTGCAGCCCTATAGCTATTAGATATCACATAACTCTGTGTTAAAAAATATCCAGATGTTGTATTTTCAGTTGTGTTACTTAAGCAAGACAAAAATTGCTCTATGATATGTGTATTGAAAGAAAACCAAGAGACTTTCATTTGTCCGTTGTTTGAGGAAACAATTTTCCTAATAAAGGCACCTCTTCCATTACGACCCACACCCTGCACCCTTATTACATTAAATACGGTACGATAGCACTGGTTTTTCGTAGTCCTTGGTATGGTCCCATCGGTCATTATCCAGATGTTGACCTGGCAATAAAAGTAATGTTTAACGTCTGAACAGTTCACAGAGAAAATATACTTAAAGTCTTAATGAAAACAGGGACTTGCTCACCTTGAATTTGGAAGTGTATTTGAAGAACTTTAACATGGATGACAATAACATTTGTCTTACTTAAGTACAAATAGAATCATTGCTTTATTTGATGGACATGAGGGCTTTTTTCATTGTCCACTTATCTTAAGTAAAGGGCATTTAACAGTACATAAATATATGCTATGTACTCAACATGTCGGGTCAAGAATCCTTAATGTCTTCTGTCTTTTATAAAGCACTTAAAATAACGGGACAAGGATCCTTAATGTCTTCTGTCTTTTGTATTGTACTTAAAATAACAGGATAAGGATCCTTAAGGTCTCTGGTCTCCAGTTCAAGTATCTACAATATTTACATATTTGACATCCATGTCTCCCAGTAGTCGTAAAGATTTTCCATCATGATTATTTAAAACAACATAAGAAAATAAACTGAAGACGGTAACGCCTAAAGTTCTGGTCACAGGTCGGCGTTTTTTCTCCAGGTACTCCAGTTTTCCTCCACCACCAAACCCTGGCACGTTCTTCAATAAGCATTGCTATAATAAGACGTAATTAAAGCACAAACAAACCAAATGACCACAGTGTTATTGTGGCACCAAAAAGTCACTGTCTGTTTACTTGACAAAATGCACTGTTAAATCCATGTATGTGTATGTTCCAGAACTGCTAAAAATCTGTTTTATACTTCTATTTTTCACTCCATATTACACTAATTTTACAAGTACCAGTACGATTATTTTAATATACATATAGATATTTTCTCTAAACACTTATTTTGATTCATCATAGTTTTCATTTTTCTGATATTTATTTTCATAACTTGGAATTGTTGTGAGATATTTTTCTTCATTTAAACAAATGTTTTAGCCAATCCAATGTTTTTTCAAAATCATTTTCAACACTGATTTGATTCTGTAGGTTGTAACTTAAAACATTTAATCCACTCTAAATATTCGTGTAGACAATGTACCGTTTCATAATGTATACACATGTAAAACAGCAAAACTACTGTTATTTCAAAATAATTTAAATTTGTAACAAACTGACATTTGTATTCAAGAATTAGATTTAGTTGTAATTTTTAATTTAATTTTATAGCCAATGCGAGTTCATTGTAAATTGTAATTTGAAGGGAAAAAAATCACATACGCAGGTATTAACCCTCCAATGTTTTCTTAAACCTGGAAGGCATTTCATGTCTACAATAGAAAAAAAAGAAATTTAAATTACACCATTTCATTGTTTGGTTGATATTTTAGCTGCCATTGTTGTAAAATGCACTGCAGTAGACATAAGTAAGGTCAAAAGGTCACGAGGTTGCTGTAATGTCACCACTAGGTGGCACTGTAATAACTAATTTCAACAGTGCATGCATTCAATCTGTAGATTTGTAAAGAAATGAAAGTTTGGAAAATTACATCTTGTCATGCAAGTTGTCTTAAATTGATGTAAACAAAATGTTAAAAAATCCTTTATGTGAAGGACATAATACGGTCTATGACAGTAATTCCGAGACCTTGCACAGAACTTTCACTTTCTACACAAATATGAGACCAGTTTCACTTTTGCAGTATTGAGTAACAACATTACAAATTGGATAAAATTTGAAGCCTCAAGTTTTATATTTTTATTTTGAACTTCAATAAATTCCATTATATAAATAGAGGGCCTTAAATGAGTGCATATTTCATAGTTGGGACTTATGAAACTAGTCTGATTTTTTTTTTTTAGCAAGCCTCTGGTGAACTACAATTAAATATCTTGACAAGTTTCGTCTTTGAAAATATGAAATGGAAACAATTGTAATATTCTAATTATCACATAATTAATTAACCAAGACTGGTTAATCAAATCAACATATTTTAAGGCTATATCAATTATGTAGGATAAAAATAAGAGTGAAATTTTCATGTGTTTTGTCTGCATTGGGACATAGCTAGGACCCTTAACTCATTCACCCTTGCATGAAGACACATTTGAAATATTCCAACTCATAGGCGGGAAAAGTTCATTATGAAATTTCAGGGGTGAATGAATGAAGACCCAGTTTAAACAGGTCAAACACAACTTTTTTCTCATTGTCAAAAATCAAACATGTCTACCAGCACAACAATTTCAAATACAGTAAAATGCTTAATAGACTCACAACCGACCGGCGAGATGTAATAAGCTGGTATTACTGTACCATGGTGGTGTTCAGATGCTGTTTTTATTGACGAGGTTTCCATAAACTGATATAAAACTTTACGTTTCATGGTACAATGTACC